AAAGATTGTGAGCTCTGGCTCCACGAAGCCTAAAGTATTCACTACCTGGCCCTTGAGGAAGAAGAGTGACAATCTAGAATCCCACTTTGGAACGTGAAAAATAGTTGGCAGCTCTTGTCTTGAACCATCAGCTAAAAATTAGATGGAAATACTTTCATCTAATACTTACTGTTAAATTTTTACTTAAGTAAGTAAATACTGTTTCCGGTGTTTCATGAACAGAGCATTCCATGGCCCAATAAACTTGAAGAATATACACTGCAAAAGCAAAAGTTAACTAAGATTCTTTTATTGCAGGCTTCTCTCCACCAGGGCAAGATGCAGCCTACAACACACTATCTTCCTAAATATTCCAGAACTTTTTCTGCTGGGGCGTCTTACCACCGGATTTGTGTTCTCTACGACATGCTGTGGGAATTCCTGGTTCCTAATACAAAAGATGGCAGACGTCCCGAAAAACGCCATGGAGCCAGGCTGAATTCTTGATCCTATGTCTTCATCTTAACCTTCTTCCCTCTTTTTAGGGATTTATCTGGTTTAAGATTATCTGGTTGTCCGGCCCTCTGGTCATAAATAGTTTAGTAAAACTTTTGAGTTTTCAATAGTATTAGGGCTCTTCTAGAAGAGTCTAATGGAATGATTTCTGGTTATAGTTTAATTCATACTAGGCTGTGAGAGACTTATAGTTCTTTGGCAGAGATGAGGAGAGGGTTGGGGATTTAGCTTTGGAAGGATGACAGGGAAGGGCAAAGTTGAATCCAGAGATGCTCGCTTTCTCTCTCTCTCTCTTTTTTTTTTTTTTTTTGGTCGCCATCAAAGTTGTGGTTTGTCACTCAGCACCTCTCCTGTAACTGCTCTGTGATTGTCTGGAGTTCCTTCCAAGCAGATTTCTTTATCATCAGAAGGGATATTTTATGCCAGGAGGAAATGAATCTGCACAGACTCGCTGCCGATTCCCCTGACATGACGGGCTCCTCTGTCAAGGGATGTTTTAACTTCCAGTTCTTTCTTTGATTACATCTAAAAGGCCCTGGCAGTCCTGAGCCGTCATTTTGGCTTCTGTTAGCCTTTCTCTCATGTTTGCCGTCATCCCCATAACTAAAAAGAATGAGCTTGCACTGGACGTGGTAGACAGATGCTCTTCTCTCTTTGCGAAGCTAATTTTGCATTGAGGGAGATGTATGCAAGAAGATAAAAAACTTGTTGAAAGATGCCATGGTTGTGTCTATGTGTGGCTCAATGAAGAAGTGCATTTGCACATATGTCGTTTCTGGATGCTTCATGCAAAGAACCTAGACATGGAAAGTGGTCATGATTTACCCCCAAGAAGCAGGATTTTCTACAATTGGCACAAAATTTCTACCTCTGATTCAGTGAAGCACCGTGAGTAACCAGGAGGCAGCTTTATTGTCATACACTGCTCTGTATGTTCAGTGAAAACCACACCGAGTGAGGCGTGGCCATGGCGACATATGTGCACAGTGTGGTGGTCCAAGTGAGACTTCATGGTGGAAGTTGAGGCTTAACGATGGAATCCTTGGGGCGATACCTGGTCTGGGGGCCCTCTCTCTGCAGAAATGAATGATGGACCTATTTCTGTGTAGGGGACTCTGCGTGTGTGTGTGTGTGTGTGTGTGTGTGTGTGTGTTTGTTTGTGTGGTTGTCAAGTCACTGAGCTATAGGTGGACTCCCGGGCTGGTCCCAACACTCCTGTCTCAGCCATCCCTAGAGGTGTCTATGTGCCTCACCTGTCACGACTGCAGAGAGAGCTGAGAGAGGGCAGTGTGCTATGATCTTTTATAATCCCTCCTCCCGTGAGCCCACGAGCCAACACTGGCTTGCACGGTTGGCTCAGCTCTGGGTGTGCCGATTGATCATTCCACTTCTGGAGCTTTCTAGCCCTGAGAGTCAGGCCTGATCTGTGGTGTCTGCACAAGACAGCCACTCCTGCCCTGTCCTCAGAGACGAGGCAGAGCGGCTGGGGCCGAGCCCCGGGACGCAGGGTCACGGCAGGGCCCACACAAGGAGCTTGCTGGGCCTGAGCCCCTGGTTGTGATGAACGGGCTTCCTCTCTGCAGGTGAGAAAGGATGCAGTTTGGGCTGGGTGGACCTTGCTGCATGTGACAGTGCCCAGAGCGGGGAGGGCCTGGTGCAGGTCCCCAGGATGGAACGGTGGCGGCGGTAAGCGCCTGCAACACCACCGTCAGAGCTTGCATGTAGCTACCAGAGTCCCCTTAGCAAGAATCCCTGTCTGGCTTTTCCTGCGTGCAGGCTGCCAAAATGCAGGCCAAACCCCGTGAAGATGGAAATTAGATCGCTTTGCTCCCAATTCACAACCTTCCATGACTCCCTGTCACAGGTGCAAAGAAATCACTGTTCTCGCCCATGACCGACACCTACAAGTCCCTGGGTGTCCCAGCCACTGTCCCTCTGACCTCACCGCCCACCCCACGCTTCTCCTCCACCTCGCTCTGCCCTGACAGCCTGCTGGTCCCACTACACACCATGCGTGTTCTGATCTCTGGGCCTTGGCTCTAGCTCTCTCCTCCTCCCAGACTCCCCTTCCCCCAGATACCTAGGCTCGTGGCTCTACTGCTCTGTGCAAACATCGCCTCATGGGAGAGGCCTTGCTGGCCTCCATGTTTTCTACAGCATTAAGGCCTCCTCTTCTCCACTTCTCTCTTTCTCTTTCCTTGCTCTCTTCCCTTCAAGGCTTTTCTGCTACCCAGTGGGGGATCGCATACTTACCTGTCCATCATTTGTCTCCCCGCCCCCAAGAAAGAAAACCTCAATGGTTCCCCCACGCCCAGCATGGTGCCTTGTAGACAAAGTACTCAGTAAATGTTTGCTGGACGGATGAATCCTTGAGATGGGTGGGTGGAACTCAGTGAGAGTGGCTTCCTGGTGGGGGGGGAGGGGACAATGGTGTTTCTGAGGGAAGGAAGATGCTGGGAAGGACAGGGAGAGCTTGACCCTCAGCCCTCAGAACAGATGGGGCGTGGCTGCTCCCACCGCTCCTCAAAGAGGTGCATCTGATACACCAAGTTTAATTTAGCCGATGTCTTGGCTGCAAGCAAGAGCTGGTAAATTTAGTTGGAGGATTAAGGAATGTATAAGATGTGTAGCTCCTTAAAAGGAGCTGGGTGTCAGGGGAGAAGCAATACTGGGCGCACCCCTAAGTTGGCCGTGAAAGGGGAGGCGTTGCTGGGGGAGCAGACCACAAGGTCACGGGTGCTGAACCTCCTGAGGGAACAGTATCTCCGCGTGCCGGAGGGGTGATGATGGCCAGCCCAGGGACACAGCCCATTCCTGAGGGGCCTGGCAACCCAGAGCAATCCCTTCAACCCGCTGACAAGGGGGGGGGGCTTTAAAGCCATGGGGCTGCCCAGACATCACAAATAAACAGATCACCAGATGTGACCCTACAAAAATGTAAAACTTCTGCTAGGAAAAAAAAAAGCCATCAGTAGAGTCCAAAGCAAACAACAAAATGGAAAGAAACGTATTTGCCACACACACCGTAGAAAAGTGCCACTTGTCCTTATAACAAGCTTGTAATCAATGAGAAAATGATGAACAGTCTAATAGAACAGAAGGTGTCAGGACATAACAGGAGGGTAAAAGGAGAAGAGATACACGTGGTCAATAAACGTATAAAACTATGCTCAGCCTCATCTAGCATCAAGGAAACACAAATCAAAATGAAATACGGCAAAAATTTTACAAGTGTGATATCCATTGATGGCAACAAGAAGAGGAAACATAAATTTCCCTGTTAAGAGGGAAATTTGGTGATTTCCATGCAAGTTAAAAATGCAGAAGCCCTGGGATGCCTGGGTGGCTCAGTCGGTTAAGCATCTGACTTCAGCTCAGGGCGTGATCTCACGGGTTCGTGGGTTCAAGCCCCATGTCGGGCTCTGTACTGACAGCTCAGAGCCTGGAGCCTGCTTTGGATTCTGTGTCTCCCTTTCTCTCTGTCCCTCCCTTGCTCACACTCTGTTCTCTCTCTCAAAAATAAATAAATATTTTTTTAAAAAATGCAGAAGCCCTTTGATCCAGAAATTCTACCACTAGGCGGTCACCCTATGGATTTTTATGAATATGTTCCAAAAGGAATATTTCTTTCAGAATATTTTGGTAAGAGTGAAAATAAACAACTTACATTTCTGTTAATAGGAGACACTTATGGATACGATGAAATATACTGTGGAGTTTTTTCTTTTTAATGATATACGTTATTTATTTTTATTAAAAAATGTTTATGAGGTTAACCTGGATCACAGAGTGATTAACCCATTTTATTTTCTGACTTAAAAAAAAAAGCCTATTAGATGAGCACTGGGTGTTATATGGAACCCAACTTGATAATAAACTATTTAAGAAAAAAACCCCTATTATGTATAATATAAAATAGAATATAAAAACATGCAACTGCTTTGGGACAAGCCAAATTCCAGACAAGTGGTCTGAAGACTGTATCTGAATGACTTTGCCATTTGCTAGGTTGTGTGATGATTAGGGGTAAGACACACCATTTCTTTGGACCTCAGTGTTTTCATTTGTAAAATGGGAGGAATGTTCCTGTTCTGTATTGTGATTTGGGGTGAGTGATTTTACTCTCTGAGACTTGGACTTTTAATCTGTAAAATATGGATAATAATTTACTCACTTTACTGGATTGTTATGAGGGGTAAATAAATTCAATGCATGTAAAGTATTTAACACAGCATCTAAGTAGGAAGTGCCAAATAAATGGTGATGTGGTGATGTTGGTGATGAGGAGGAGGAGGAGGAAAATGATGGTGGTGATGACGGTGATGATGATGATGATAATGATGATGATGATGATAGATGATGATGATATTGGTGATGATGATGGTGATATTGGTAATGGTGATGATGGTGATGTGATGATGATGGTGATGTTGGTGATTGTGATGATGGTGATGATGATGGTGATGGTCATAGAAGAGGAGATGGTGGCAGAAGAGGAGGAAAAGAGGGAAGATCAGGAACAGAGGAGGGACCACGATGGGGAGAATGAAGAGGAAGAGGGAAGGAAAGACCAGCTGGAGACCCCTGTATGTGAGTACTTTACATTCCTTAGTTCATGCAGTTGTTCTAATTATGCTGTGAGGTCTACACACAAGCTGACCACTTGTGTGCATTTTGTGATCAAGGAAACAGAAGTCAGAATTGTGACTTGCCTAAGGCCACCCTCCAGGCAATCGTCAAGCCAGCATTTGGCTTGTAATCTTTTTTTTTCTTGATAAAGAGACAATATTTAGGGGTGCCTGGGTGGCTTAGTCGGTTAAGCGTCTGACTTTCGCTTAGGTCATGATCTCCCGGTTCGTGGGTTCAAGCCCCGCGTCGGGCTCTGTGCTGACTGCCAGCTCGGAGCCTGGAGCCTGTTTCAGTCTGTGACTCCCTCTCTTCTGACCCTCCCCTGCTCATGCTGTCTCTCTCTCTGTCTCCTAGAAATAAATAAACATTAAAAAAAAAAAGAGAGAGAGAGACAATATTTGAAGACACAACCTTGAAGGTCCTTTTGGTTCCAAGCCTCCCCATGGCACCCAGCACAGTGCTTGGCACATCGTAGGTGATCAATAAATGATACACGAATCAGAATTTATTTCTAAAAGAATTGTTATTCCCCCTAAGTTATGCTGTGGGAGTTGTCCCCAGGGCTGTGGGTCATTTCTTTGCAAGTCCCAGTGGGGAAGGCGGTCTTCCTTCCAGAGCGTGCAGGTCTCTAAGCTATCATCTCAACCCCAAAGCCACCCTTTTCTATGATTCACACTGTGGCATAGGGGCTGGAACTCTGCAAATCCATTTCTGAGCTGCCAGGCTCTCCCATTAGTGGGCACTAGAGGGAGACTGTGAGGTTGGAAAGGAGAAGGGGGCCTTGCCCTTTCCCTTCTGCTTGCAGTTCTCCTGAGCGGCACCCAGCCTCACTCCTTCACCTTAGCAATGACCCTTCATCTTGGCGGCAGCGCTTGGTAACCATCTTCAATTTCTTCCAGCAACCCCCGTCCCCCCAGCCCCACTGCATTCCCTCAAGGTCCCGGAGCCAGTTGGGTAGTGTCCCCGCCTCAAGAAGTCCAGATCCCAGCTCTGTGGGGTCCCCACTCTGAACTTGTAGATTCTAACACCTGTCCACCTGTCCAAACAATTCCCTGTAGCAAATTCTGTGTATTAAAATAATTGGTGTGCTTTATTATTTGGGGCTAGACCCTGGCTGAGGCACAAGGTAAATTTGATTTGGGAAAAAGAGAAGAATCAGGTTGTCTGATTTTTGCATTTTGCATCAGACATAAGCCTTCACCATGAAGAAATGAGATGGATGTTCTCATATGATTTACTGAGCTATCTCCCACTTCTTGGTTTTGGTTCTCTGTTTTTACCACCGTGACAGATAAGCATGTGCACATAATGAGACAAAGGTAGAGCCTGGAAAGTCCAGTGTCCCACTAGGCAATGGACAGACTTTCCCTGGGGTCTGGATTTGACCCCTCCCAGCACCTCCACTCTGGCCTCAAGGGCGGGAAGGGGTCACTGCTATCCTTTCAATGTTCCCAACCAAAGCCACCAACTCCTTCCTACATTTATCCTTAGAGTGGTAGAATCAACCTGAAACTGTCAAAAGACTTTAATAAACCCTAAAAGAGGGCAGCTGAGAATTCACACAAAGAGGGCATGAATTTAAGCAAGACTTGCACGGCTCACCATCTAGGTTTGGAAAGTGCTTGCAGTCTGCCCTTCCAGAGAACCCAGAGAAATAAGCCATCTTTCCCTCAGTGACTAGCTCTTGGCCTGTGTCTGTGAGGCCAGTGCCATTTGCCTCCAGGTGTGTGACAGGGATGCTGATAATGGTAAGTTCACGTATTAACTCAATTAACCACCCTATGAGATAGACAGTATTCTTAGCCCCATCTTACAGATGACAAAACTGAGCCACAGCTAAGTGACTTTCCCCATGGCAGTCTGCTGGTAAGTAGCCATCTGGGATTTGGACCCAATTAGCCTGGCTCCAGAGCCCCCCTCCTATCCAGACCTCTTAGATCCTCTCTCAGGGATGTTCCCCCTTTCCAGGTGGTTCACCCTTCAGAGGCATGGCCTCATTCTTACAAACCACCATTGACCAAAAATTTACTTCTTCACAAGGCTGCCTAGATTGTTGGAAAATTCCTTATATTGGGCTGCCACTTCCTCCTACTCGCTTCCACCTTTTGTTCTTGGAATTTCCTTGTGAAGACACACAGAAGGAATCTATGTTTCTTCAAAACCAGCATGAGTCTCTTGCTGCGTTTTCTCATACTGTCTGGGACCATCCAGAGCCACCACCGCCAAGCAGCATGACCTTGGACAGGTACGTACCCACTCTTTGCCTCTGTTTCCTCATCTGTAAAATAGGAATCATAAGACTGTATACCTCGTTGGGTACCTTATACGCAAAGCCCCTTGGAGCAGTGATGAACGTACTCTCTTTTTTTTTTTAATTTTTATGTTTTATTTATTTCTAGGAGAGAGAGAGACAGCGTGAGCAGGGGAGGGTCAGAGAGAGAGGGAGACACAGACTCTGAAATAGGCTCCAGGCTCTGAGCTGGCAGTTAGCACAGAGCCCGATGCGGGGCTCGAACCCATGAACCGTGAGATCATGACCTAAGCGAAAGTCGGACGCTTAACCAACTAAGCCACCCAGGCGCCCCTGAACGTACTCTCAATAAAAGTGGGCTCCTGGTGTTTTTCTGCAGCCTTAACATCCCCAGTCTTCCAGACGGGAATGATATTGAACCTTGCTCAGTGCACAGCCAAGCATTTTGTGATCCTGCCCTCTGTCTGTCTGTCTCCACTGCTTGTCTCCTCAGACCCTATCAACCCTCCCCTGGATACATACTCAGCCCACTCCCCAATCTGCCAGCTTCTAGTCTTGCTCTGCTCCAACCCACCTTCCCCTCAGCTTCCATGTTGTTCTCAATGAAACATAAACCTGATCTGGTCCTCCCCTGCTCAGATCCTCCCAGGACTAAGTTCAGCCTCTTTAGTGGGACTTACAAGGCTCTCCTTGGCCCGTCCCGTACTGACCTATCTGCCTATCCTGTCCTCCCTCCCGCTCCATTTTCAGCAAAATGAACAAACTCCTGGATCTCTGAGCCTCACCTGACTCTGAGCCTACCCGCCCCCTGCTACCCCAGGGCCCAGCACAGAGCCTGGTATCCAGCAGGGACGCTGTTGAGCTCTGGTTGATATATGTGTGGGAGGGATAGCGCATCCAGTGAGTGCTCAGTAAGCTGGCTTGGCATCTGTGTCAGTTCACATCATTATTTTTTCCAGGGGTCATATTCAGAATCTGTAGCCACAGTTGTTGGGTTTGTGAGTAGTGGCCTGCAGGCCTTCTGATGTACCCGGCATTAACCCTTTAGTTGATGGATTGCGAGGAGGACCTGGGGGTCCAGGGGGAGAGTGGGGGAGGCCCGGACACCAAGAAGCAGGGCTTTTTAACACACTAGTAGAAGCATCTCAATATTTTACCAAAATACAGCTGTGCCTGTTTTCCCAGAAATCTCCTTCCCCATCCCTGGGCCCTGCTCCCTCCTCTCTCCACAGCCTCCCCTGGCCTTGTCTTTCTCTCTGCCCCACCCCCAGCCCATCACTATCCAGAGGCTTTTATTTTGAAGCCTTCTCAGGGTCCGGATGACCCGTTTTTTCCCAGAATTTGTCCACAGGGCTTGGAAAGGCTCCCTCCCAAATGGCACTGTGGACACCCATCTGGCCTGGTTCTTTAGCTTAAAGGTCCCTCATCCCGGGGCTGCACATGCAGGGTGATGACAGGGAGCACTCAGCCTGTTCCTCTCATCTTTCCCAGCACAGGCTACATGAGGAACAGGGGGTGGCATGCACGGCAATTTGACACCCAAGACCTTCGTCTAAATAGGTTTGCAATTTGCATTAACCTTTGAGACAAGAGTTTAGTTTAGTAACCACGTTTAGTAACCACATTTAGCAATCATGTTAGAAAATGAAGGGGGTGGGTCCTCAGGTTGCAAGGATGGAGAGGTCCTGGGCTGCCTGGGAGCTGAGTGACCTTGCACCGGCCTCTGGGTGTCCACAAGCTCAGGTAGGATGACTCTCCAAAGGCAGCACCCCCTCTGCTGTGTATCTTCATGTTCTTCGTGGCCAGTGCACTGCACCAGATTCAGGGCCCCAGCCACGTGGTATAGGGAAACGTAGGCTTCAGGCAATGAGAAGGGATTTTCATCCCACCTCAGGACTCTGGGCAATTCATTCTCCAATCCAAAAGCCACAGGTTCCTCATCTGTGAAAAGAGAGGCATAACGCAAAAGAAATTTAAAGAATGTACATGGCTAGTTGGAAAAATGAAATACCTTTCACTCCTGGAGTTGGTGGTAGCGGATGGTTTCCTAGTTCAGGAAAATGACTTGATTAATTTTGGGGTCATTACAAAGGGGCAGCCTCCTGCACACCATCTGGACGGAAGACATTTGCACACACACAAAGCGAGAATCCCCTTTGCAGAGAAAAGGCAAGCATCGGTCTCTCCTCCCTTCTGAGCATTCGCTGACATTAGAGAGAAAAAAAAGGAAAAAGCATAATCCCACAGAAACACAGGGACTAGAAAGGGAGTATCAAGGGATGAGAGATTGCAACACATTTTTGGAGTGGGCTTTGTTTGGAATGATGGTCATGTGTTTAGAAAGGCTGAAGAGACTCTGCGCACAGAGGGGCACAACGGGGAGGTGGGAAGACAGTGAGCCTCTAGAACCCCAATGGGGTCCAGAATGCAAGGTGAGCAGGTGGAGAAGATGATAGCGAGAGATGAGAGCCAGCAGCCAGGGGTTTACTCTTGAGCTTCTTGCAGGAGCTTATTCTCTGGAGATGGTAGAGAGTAGTCTTCAGGACACCAAGGTCGCCGGCATGACAGAGGGTGGGGGCAAGACATGGGGCTGAACACAGGGTATTCATTGGAAGTCTGCATCCCAAATGGTCAGAACATCTTCCTGGCCCTTCTGCTCTCAATGCACCCTAGCCTGCTCCTACATCCCAAGCAGAGAATGGGAGCCGCCAGACAAGTTCCTGGAGAATTTACTAGAGAAAAAGACTTATATCGGCTACTGTTTCTGGGACTTCCCAACACTGTAGCTGCTTTTCTGTCCCAGCATTTAAATGGATGTTTAATGTTGGAACAAGTCAATCCACAAGTCCTCACCCACCCTTGCAGAGCTTCTGACCAGCTTTTCTCGTACCTATGTCTTAAATACTAGTGAACAACCAATGGGCATTATTGGACACATAAGGAAAGTTGCCAGTGTGGAACAGAGACACCAAACTAAAAAGATAAGAGAAGAGCCTGGAAGAAACACTGCCCCTCTCATTTGGACTCAAGAATGAATCACCTGATCCAGAATGATCAGTCAAGCCACAGAAGCGTGAGCACAAACAAATTGCCTGTAGTTGTGCATCACTGGAGATTTCCGTGGTTTTTGTTACACAGCGAAAGCTGACTGATACAACCCAAAACCAAAAATGGGATGCTATGACAACCGAATAATCATAAAATAAGAGAGAGGTCTTAGAAATTTAATATAAGGTAGTTAAAAGAGGAATTTCAGGGACAGATTTGAAAAGTATGTCACAAAAATATCTTCAAGGATCTAACAGGAAGAAATGAAGATGGAAAATATGAAGAGAAGAAACAGAACACCAATCCGGGAGGTCTCACATCTGACTTAGAACATTTTTTTTTAAAAGAGAGAAAACAGAGAAAATTATTCAAAAAAACAATTCAAGAAAACTTCCCCAGACTGAAGATCATGAGTGTCAAGACTGAGTACGCCCACCATAATACCAGTAAGATGAACAAGACATAATCCACACAACATCATGTAACCCCAGAAGACCAGAGATAAAGAGAAGGTTCCAAAATGTTCCAAAGAAAAAAGATTGAATGCAATGCAACAAAAATAAGAATACTGAATTCTCACTTTTACTGTAAAAGGAACCTGTTGCATATCTAACAATCAATGAATCAATCAAAAATAGCAATATAAGCTTTTCATTTAGAAATACAGAGGAATTTAGGGGGAAAATGGAAGGGGGTTAAGTAGTTCCCTTGGGGTGGGAGCTTTTCAATACTCCTCTTCCTTGCTGCCAACCAAACGCCTACACTTCTTATTCAAACACTGACAAGACAGCAACGAGAATTAACAGGTTTATTTGAAACCACTGGTACGGTGAAAAGTTGGAAGGAAGGGTCATGTAATGGGCAATGCTTTGAGCCCAATGACAGAGACAGCTGGTGAGCAGTTTCCTGTTTCTGTTTTAGAGTATTTTTAAGCTTATTTATTTATTTTGAGAGAGAGAAAGGGAGAGAGAGAGAAGGGAAGGGGCAGAGACAAGAAGAGAGAATCCCAAGCAGGCTCTGCACCGTGCAGAGCTCAATGTGGGGCTCGAACTCGCGAACCATAAGATCATGACCTGAGCCAAAACCAAGAGTCAGAACTGTAACCGCTTAACCGACTAAGCCACTCAAGCGCCCCCTGTAGAGTAGTTTCCTGCAGCAAGAGTGTGCAGAGCCCCCTGCCCTTCTGGTCATGCCTCCACCTTCCCTCCAAGTCTGTAAATGTGGCCTGGGGAGACTGAGGGGTGGGGCCCTGCCCCACGTGGGATGCTGCCTGACTCAGGGCGGCTGGGGGGTTCCAGCGAGAGGATAATGGCTGCAGAGGAGAGAGGGCGCCTCTTCTTCCTCTTACTAGAGGGAGGAGGGTGCTGGAGAAAGTCTAGATCCTGCTATTAAAGTGAAATGGGAAAGGATGTCCCCTCCTTTCACAGCTACACTGGTCTGAATGGTCTGAGCATCAGATGTCATCATGAGGGTTGGGGCTCCTAGGTGGCTCAGTCGGTTAAGCGTCCGTCTTTGGCCGAGGTCATGATCTTGCTGTTCCCAAGTTCAAGCCCCGCATCGGTCTCTGTGCTGACAGCTCAGAGCTGGGACCCTGTTCCAATTCTGTGTCTCCCTCTCTCTCTGTGCCGCCCTTCCACTTGCACTCAGTCTCTCACTCTCTCAACAATAAATAAACATTAAAAAATGTCATCAGGAGGGTAAAGCCCACCATAAGATCTGCATGAAAGCAACACAGGGATCATCCTTAGTGCCCCAGGGGCTCTAGGGAATCCCACATAACTTCTGGGTCTTAAGCACCTACTGTGTGCCAGGCAGATAACTCCCTTTCCAGGTGGTGGTATATAGTCTTTTAGGAGCAATAGGAGTTGGTCAGGCAGAGAAGGTGGGCGTCATGGGGCACCCCCTCCTACGACGGGGGCTGGAGTTGGAAAAGGAAAGGAATGAGA